CAGTGCTTTGTACCTAGCGTTCATGACCCTTGACCCCGATATGTTATTTGTAGGACTTCGTCGATGAACCGCCAATATGCCTATCAGTGTGGGCGTACTGGGAACGACCGATGCTAGCGAGGGAGTAACGAAAGCAAATTACATAAGCATCACCGTTACATATACTTACACAGGTCAGACTAGAATGAAGTGTTCAGGGACTCAGGATTCCGGCTATCCTCACTCCTCGCCAAAGACGTCGACCGCATCGACAATCTCATGCCGAGTTCCGTTGGCCCCACTTGACTCTCCGTGGCCATTCAGACCATGGGCTTCATCGACCTCGCCCTCAGCATCGGCATCAGCATCCCCTCGCGCGAGTGGGAAGAGCGGGTCGACGACCTCGGCCAGCGCCTCCTCGCGTTCCTGCGCCTCCTCCGCACTCATAGGAGTATGCGTGAGGCGGACAACATCCCACTTGTCGCCGTACGACTCGTAGGTCTATGGACACAAGTCAGCGGCAAGCATCGCCTGACACAGAAGGACACATACGTTGACGCGCTTCTTCTTGAGCAGCATCTTGCGCTCGATGTTCTTGTAGTATGCACCCTTTGGCCGAGACTTTTTCGAGTCGGCATCGTCATCGTTCGACGTGCCATCGTCCAGTACAAGCAAGAACTCGTTGGGAATCTCCTGCTCGACCTTGACTGTCTCATAGTCTCGCACAAAGTGGAAGAGGGTAGGCTGCGGTCATGCATGAGCGGTGTATGATGGATTTGGACAGACGTGTTACACACCTCGTCCTCAGGAGGATCATCTGGCGAGCGAGCGAGGCGATTGGCCTTGAACTCAATGGCATCTTCATCCTCCTTTGTGAGATAATACGCCAAGAAGTGGTCGCCATCCGCTTCCATAGGTCGTAACACTGCACAATCCAACCGCGGATCTTCGACCTATTACAGTGACAACACATCAGCGCTAGCTCACGACGCAATGCAAAGTAAAGACGAACATCTGGTGGCCTATCTCCTGGTCTTTCGGAAAACCTGAACAAATCATACGCGTTCGCCCAGATCTCTGCGTCTGGGAAGATCTCGAACGTCTCGACAGCGGTAAGCTCTGGCTTCGTGGGGTGTCGTAATGATGCAAGGTCAGAGTTCTCAATTGCAGCGAAGGACGCCTCAATGTCTCGCAATTGTGCATCGCGTGAGATATCGATCATGTTGTCTTGGTTGTGTTTGCTAGAGCACCCACACGTGTGAGCACGCACCGGAGCGGGGGTGCATCAGCGGGAAGAGCGAATACGTACAGGTCTTGGGACAGAGCTGCTCGAGTTGAGCCTTCTCGACTGAGGTATTCTGTCTTGCGTAGCCATGGTACGTTGGGCATGGCAGCTAATGGTGTTGAGGCTCCCAACACGACTGGTCCGAGGAAGGGCGCAGCTGATGTTGCAGGGTCCCCGAGCATGAACTGGTCTCGTGGGTCGACCTTGTGAGGTCGATTTGGGTCAGGGTTGAGTTCTTCATTGGAGTACATCCACAAAAGATAAGTACACGAAGCATCCAAGGACTCGCTCGCGCAGCACGCACCAGAATCATCCCCGTTCTCCTCCCACAAGCAGTCCCATTGCGACAAGTCTAAAGGCATGCCTAACTCTCCGTCCACAACCATAGGCAAGGGCATGCTCGTGGCGATGTCGTCGAGAAATTCGGGGCGCGCATAACGCTTGGGGTCGGTGGGTATATTGAGGAGCTTTGGGGGACATGGCGGAGAGGGAAGCGGGTTGGAGTATCGGACCCGGATGAGCAGGTCAAGTTTACTGTATTGGAAGTCAGAACCAGGTTGTTTCGAGTAGCTGACGCGCAACTCACCTTTTCTTGAAGCTCATCGTGGACGGTGGGCTAAGTCGAGCGTGGTGGTATGCCCCGAGCCAAACGGTTGACGCACTGGCACCGACGGGAAGAACACTCTTGCGAAGCGCCCGGCGCGAGTTCTCCTGCTCGCGATCTAAGGTTAGGGTCGCCTTACGCCTTGTCCACCATCTTCAAGATCCAAGAGCACGTAGCCAAGATCACCGAAGACCCACAGCCAAAAGAAAAAAAATCATATTACGCAAAAAAAAACTGCATTAGTACCGAACTGCGTGTATTCGACGCCCCATGGCGGAAGGATCACAAGCAGAACCCATTATTGCCTCTGCCGCCCCGACTGAATCAGTCACAACTACTCCTTGTGCAATGTCAGTCACTCTCTTGTACCCGGACATATGCCGGATTGCCTGAGACCACTCACAGCTGTCGGAGACAGTTCTCGCGCTACACATGCCCGCGGTGCAATATACCGTATTGCTCGCTCGTCTGCTTCCGCTCCGAGGTACGCCTCTGAACATCCTATCCTTCAGCGCTCTTTCTGACGGCCCGTTCATTATAGAAACACGGGGATTGCTCTGAGACCTTTTACAAGAAAGAGGTAGAGCTCGATGTCAAGAGCGCGCCCTCCGCGAGTGTTGAGGAGAAGCGCCGCATGATGGACCTCTTGAAGCGTTTCGAGGACGATTCCCTCGATGACAGCCCCTTGCTTGCGGACTCTGATAACGAAGACGATAATGACGCAGATGATCTTCATAGCCGCTTGCAGAACATCGACCTTGGTATATTTGGTCTTCATTCCTAGCCACAACGATTCATTGACCGCACTCTTGACAGACTCCGCCTCGTACGAAGAGCTGTGGGCGGTTCTAACGCCCGCGGAACGCGAGAAGTTCCTCCGCGCGTTGAATGATCCTAGCAGCGAACTTGCGCAACAGCTTCTCGCCAGCGAAGAGCTGGAAAGAGAGCAGGTCGAGCCGTGGTGGGAAGCACCTGCCGACGACGTCAGCTCCTCGTCCTCAGCTAACGCAGGGGCAAAGCGAAGACACGGAGACAAGCCCCCAATGATGTCTATTCCCGAGCCGTTGATCAAACAGTCCTCCAATGCTACGCTCAACGGGCCACTCCTATCTTACAATATATGCGCTGTTTGGTGCGTCTACTTTGAGACAACGGAGTGAATCACTTGTCAGGCTGATGAGGGATTCTCTAGTATAACCTACTCGTATATCATCCGTTATTTCGCTATCTCGCCGCTATCCTCTCTTGCGCTCACGGATCCCGACCGGTCAGAAATCAAGCGATCGATATCCCAGCTCGTACCATTCCTTACAAACCGACGATCGACGCTTGTGCATTCGTCGCTTTCCGAAGTCGTAACAGACCTGTGGTCACGGTTCCCACCTGTAGGTTGAGCACGCGTGTGATGATGGTGCTCAAACTTACTGACAACATGCAGGGACATATGAACTCGCAATTCTTCTCCCTCCTACTCAAGGATACAGCTCTATTATTGCGTCCTGCGACAGTAACCATCGTGCCTGACCGCGATTCTGCCCTCACCTCCGCCGGACTCGAAGCTCATCCAAGCGCGAACGCGCTTCGCGTCCTGTCTGACCTCGCAGAATTCTTCAGCGACAACTCGCGTCCGCCAAATTCTGCAGTTGAACGGCAACCCAATTCACCGTCGCGAGAGCCCTCAAAGCCCAATCACGTCGTGCACAAACTTACGTTCTACGCGGCGTACGTCTTGGGAACGCCAACACCCATGTTACGCATGCTAGCGGATGAGGCGATGATGCGTGCCAAGATGCTAGAAAAAGAGGCGAAGCAGGGGCCTCAGGCGAACAGTGATCAGAATGTGAAACGGGTTGGACAAGAGAAGGGGGAGGAAGGCGCAAGGATCAAGGAGCTATCATAGCATTCAGCATCAGGTTGCAGGATCGTCTATTGTTGTTGCCATTATACACGATGATGGGATAGTGTGTTCGAGTTCTATGACGTCTCAGGTCCGTCGTACGTTGTCCCTGGGTACTATCTTGACGGCCAGGTCGTCAGTACATCAGGACGCGAATCCAGAGCATTGTTTACTTACTAGTATGTACAAGAATGTATTAGTGCAGATAGCATTGAGTGGCGGAGATATATTGCATGGCGTTCTGGTGACTGGCGGTTACACCAACCTGTCGTTGGTGACCGTCGAGAGCTAGAATACACATACAATCATGGAACTCACCACACGACACCCTCAGTCGAAGCCCCTCAATCGCAGCTCCCGTCCGCAGGACCGTCCTTCCATCGTTCGTCCAGCTTCTCGATCGCACAGTCAAACTTGTCCTTCCCCAACCGCTCGTTCACCTCGTTGTGCTGCTCGCACAACCACCTGCTGAGCGCCGTGCGGCTGCTCACGTCCGGCGGACGTGTCTTCATTGTCTCCCCGAGATGTGTGGCGCACACCGAGCACGGATAGAGTATAGGCAATGCGCGCAGGAGCGAAAGCATGTTCACGCGGTGCGCCATGCTTGGCTTGTCTGGGTAGTACGCCGCGGTCGTGTGCAGGAACGTCCACGTCGCGTTTCCGAGCTGCTCAACGTCGGGGGGACAGTTCGCTGGACGCACGTACGTCTCTGGTTCGGGGGTTGGTGCGGTAGCGGAAGTGGTGGACTGCTGCTGGGACGTCGAGGCGAAGCCAGCCCCCGACGCGAAAGCGGCCATCATGGCGGCGGTTTTTTCCTGGCCTGGCGTACCTGCCTGCGTACTCTTCGCGGGCTTGTCTATACGAGGCTTCCAGTTGCGGAACGCGGTACAGATCTTGCATGGCTTCCCGTCCGGACCCAAGACCATGCCCGGAGGGAGAGTCGGCTTGGACGGAGTACTAGAGCTCGACGCGCCAGATGACGCCGGTGTGTTGTTCGTTGCAGTAGCCATTCTCGTACCAGATAGAAGAGACAAACAAAACGAGGGGAAGTCTATGTACGCGTCAAGATGGGTGCATTGGTCAGGCCGAGTCCTTGGGCGCCGAAAGGTTTACGAGAGCACTCGGGCGTCTATCGCAACTTCCGCCTGTCTCCCTCAATTTCCGCTTCTCCTCCGAGCTATTTCCGACTCTCAGGACGCTGCAATAAAGCCAAAAAGCATAGAAATAAAACTGTATGACGAGAGTGGGATTCGAACCCACGCCCTTTCGGACCAGATATCACCAGGTATGATAACCTTAGTCTGGCGCCTTAGACCGCTCGGCCATCTCGCCATGATAAATCAACATGTGTACTGCGGTCCCATCCTGAGGGATCAATGTATTCGATATGGCTGGGTGACTTGGAAGCTGGAGAGGCCAGTGCTACAGGCATAATATTTCTGTGATTAAGGAGTCGACAGAAGAAGAGAACGAAGGAATGCGGCCATTAGCTAATGAGCAATCGCGACAGTGTCAGGGTGCTCCTGAACCGGAATACTCGTACTGCTACTATAGGGATCACATAGAACGAAGATGTCTTCAAAATATACGAGCTACCACTACATGCAAACACCCGGACGATGGTATCGTGTGGGAGAACTCGGAAACGGAACAATTTACACCGCTGACCAGCTCGGCGATACTCAGGGTATAAGGTCGGGCATCCGAGCCGACCGTGGTATATGCTGTAATGGCTCTGAGAGATTAATAGCGTTATATTCTCGGTAACATAATTACATAGAAGCACAGTAGCTTGACGCGGGGTGTGCAGATGATGAGGCTGTCTGCTTAGTCGGGGTCTACTGAAAGGCGTGGTGTGTTCTTGAACACCTGCCATACCGGGAGGCCGAGGAGGGACGGTGGCTGTTCCTTGGGCGGGTTTGATGGCTTGGCACATGTCCGGCTGTCACCGTGCCACCGTGCCATGCTATGGCCGTTGCTGGCACACCGGCACATCCGAGTTTCAGCCATGGAATCCGCAACCTCAGGCACACCGCCCTCGCGTCTTGCTCTTAACTTCAGCTTTCCCCGCTTTCCCCGCTGACGGTCGGCTTTGCATCTGTTCTCCGCGTTCCTTCTATCGTGCCAGAACCTGAGCCACACGGCGACATTCAGCAGGACCTCCGGAGCGTCTTTGCACTTCCACCTGAGCAAGATTTGGATACCTAGCGTCTCAGACATGGATCTCCTAAGGACCAAGAAGATGTACCGCTTCTTACCCATCGGGGCAACGGCTACTCTCCTGCTTTGGGCTTTCGCCCACTTCGGCGTTAACGATCACTCGTTATACAATGGCCCTCACTCCGACGAGCACAATCATCATCAATTCCCACATTTGGGCGGCGCATGGCACTCACCACCGCCTGTCGCAGGAAGCCCTCATAACCCTCATGGCCGACCGGATGCTAGATGGTCCAAGCGTGCAGACGCGGTGAGAGACGCCTTCTCGCATGCATGGCAGGGGTACCAGGAGTACGCTGGGACACACGACGAATTGTTGCCAGTGTTCAACGGTTCCGTTGACAAGTACGTCGTACTCGTATACCACTCGTACAACAATCTCAACTTCTAGCCAGTTTCAATGGCTGGCGTTTGACGTTGGTCGATAGCTTGGACACGATGCTCATCATGGGCTTGCATGATGAATTCCAGAAGACCATCCCTGTTATAGCCAACATGACATTTGCTCTTCGAGAGGTATGCAGGATGAGCCGGCCGACCTCTCGTAATATGGCTCATCTAGCTTGAAGGGTTCTTATGCGCCCTTCTTCGAGACCGTTATCCGATACCTAGGTGGACTATTGTCCGCATACGCAATATCCGGAGAACCTATCTTGCTTTCTCGTGCGGATGACTTGGGTACCATGCTGTTGCCGGCGTTCAACACCACGCATGGGCTCCCCATGTACGCCGTGAACACCGTCTCGTGAGTAATGCAGGTGTGACCGTCAGGCGTGTATTGACACGGACCGGTCTCACAGTGGGAAGACGAGGACGGGCTGGTCGGGCTCCAGCGTCCTTTGGGCAGAAGCGCTCAGCTGCCAGATGGAGTACAAGTACCTAGCGCATTTGACCGGACGCCGAGAGTATTTTGAAAAGGTCAGCTATGCATGACATCCTTACGGAACTTCTTAATCCTATTGCGCATCTACAGGTCGAGCGGATCATGGACCTCATGGACATGGCGAGCATCACGAATGGCGAGTTCCCTACCAAATGGAACCTCTTGACCGGCAAGCCGCTCAACAGTAAGTCCATACAACTGCGGCACACTTACCGATCTAATACATGTCTGATTCCAGATCAGTTCTCTGTGGGCGCGTTTGCTGACAGCGCTCACGAGTACCTGCTCAAGCAGTGGCTGCTCACCGGCAAATCCGAGCCTAAAGCTCGCGATCTCTGTAGGCCCATACAATGCTACCTTCGCACATCGACGAACCCTCACGTCTATATCGAACAGATCTTCGTGACGCCGAAGCCATCATCAAGAACCTCTTATATATCACACCCAACAGACAACTCCTCTACGTCACCGACACGATCAACTCCAAGCCCAGCCACACCTTTGAGCACCTCTCCTGCTTCCTCCCTGGGCTGCTCGCCCTCGGCGCACACACACTCGCGCTCTCCGACCGCGACCGCGAGCTGCACAAGTGGGCTGCGCAAGGTCTCGCGTACACCTGCTGGCTCACGTACGCAGACCAAGCGACGGGACTGGGCCCGGATGAGATGCACATGACGCACATGCCCGCGGACGAGGCGCACCCGCACGGTGGGCGATGGTTCGATCTGGTGGCGGAGTGGGAGCAGATGGGACGTCCTGGCGGTGTGCCCCCAGGGCTAGCGGAGGCTCCTCCTGCGAAGGATTCCTCGGAACGGGACTATCACGCGATGAAGACTGCGTATTTGCTCAGACCGGAGGTAGGTGACCGTGGTGGCTCGCGCTTCGCTGTCGTTGACGTTGTCTTCTCAGACGGTGGAAAGCTTTTATATCTTGTGGCGGACGACGGGCGATGAGGTTTGGCGGGAGCGTGGTTGGTCTGTATTCGAGGCCATTGAGAAGCATGCGAAGACGGCGAGCGGGTACGCTAGCGTCTTCAATGTCGACAGGATACCCGCTCCGCTAAAGGACGAAATGCCGAGGTACGCCTTGGCGCTACTTTTAGTCATCGAACCACCTAACCTAGGGATTTTGCTCAGTTTCTTCACAGCCGAGACGTGAGTAATCTTCACAACATCAATTCGTTGAATCGTGCTAAGGGTAGCTCTCTACTGCTATATAGGTTGAAATACCTCTATCTGCTGTTCCAAGACGAAGAGCTGATACCCCTGGACCGATGGGTGTTTAACACTGAGGCGCATCCTCTGCCCGTGTTCGAGTGGGCAGAGTGGGAGAAGGAACGCTATGGTATCACACCACCTAGCTCTGCGTCTCCGGCTTCGGCGTGAGCTCTAGATACAACCCAGAAGGCCACCGCTGAATCGCGCATTTGTACACTATCGCATATTCATGATTTGCTTTACCAGGACCACTTCTTGGACGTCCGACTCCAGTGGCGTACTACCGGTCCCGTGGCGGGACGGCGGGCCGTCGCCGTTACGACCTCGCCCGCGGCATCGTGTGGGCGAACTTAAGAAGCAACGTCATGCTACCTCCCTTATCTCCTTCTAACGATGTTCTATCGCTTAGGTATGGAGGCGCTTTCCCGGCGTAGTCCCATAAATGCGATGCATGCAGCGAGTAGGGTATGAGGTTCAGTGCAACTACACACCGCAATGATCTCCCACAGCCTTCTGCTACGATTTGGAGTGCCCTGTAATGGGCCCGGGACTATATTGACCCTCCTGTGCTTGTGCAGTTTCGTGGTGGCAAGCTTCGCGCCCTCCATGCGTTTCTTGGAGCACCTCCCGCGCGTGGATGGAGACACTGCAGAAGCTCCCGCTAAAAACGATGCGCTCTTCTTCGAGGTGAGCGAGTATGTCGTTAATATTAGTGAACAACGTGGATGTTCACCTGCTGTGGGATAGATGCCTCTAGACCATTTCGGCGGCACCCCAGGTACTTTCAACAATAGATACTGGGTCAACGACACGTACTATAAGTTAGGAGGTCCTGTCTTCTGTAAGTACACACCGTTACTATAGCCTGTGAGCGGGTCTCTTGGCGTCAACCGGACCAGAATTGATCCTACTTCTTAGTGTTCGACTCCGGGGAGCAAAACGCCGAACCGCTCCTGCCGTACTATCTACAGGAATACCATGGGCTGTCTGCAACCATGCGTCTGGCGAAGCGCTACAACGGAGTTGCCATTTTGTGGGAGCATCGCTACTATGGGGACTCCCTGCCATTCCCTGTCAATGTAAGCGTCTTGTTGAAGTCGACGACCCGAGTGCACTCATTCTGAAATTATGCTGTCCTACAGGAGAACACGACAGCGGAACAGTGGCAGTTCCTCACTACTGACCAAGCACTGGAAGATGTCGTCTACTTTGCGAACAGGTTCTCGCTTTCGCACGTACATGGCCCCAAGAACTCAAACGCCAGCTCAAACGCTGCGGATCCGTCGAGTTCTCTTCATCCATCGAATACTCCTTGGATATGGCTTGGGGGTTCTTACCCAGGCGTACGCGGCGCTCTCCTTCGCGTGCGGAACCCCGAGACAATCTTCGCAGTTTGGGCCTCCTCAGCGCCCGTGCACGCGCAGGTCGACATGGCTGCGTACTACAAGGCCGCCGAACGCAGCCTCACACGCAACTGCTCAGCGGATTGGGTCGCCGTGACGCGCTTCGTCGACGACACGCTGCAGAACGGCACGGGAGACGGCGGACCTGAAGTACAGGTTGTTGAGCGCACGTTCTAACGAGATCACGAAAGAGCAGGCTGCAAACGCGAGCGACGTGAGTGCGGCGGGGGTGCTGATGGATCCATTGAACTTCTACCAGGTACGCCTGTTCACTTGGTGCACTGATCGCACGGCTGACCTTATTTGTAGTATTACGGATTCGATGCCTCGGTCTTGCCGTTCTGTAACGTTTTGGAGACACGGAACTTCACCATTACGCCCTTTGAGACCGGTCTCGCTTCTAACATCGGTATCGACGTCGCGTCGGACGCTTTCCTCGCAGCCATCGAGGTGGTCAACTACGATGCCATCCCAGGTGATGCAGACGATCCTGTCCAGGACAGGTCCTGGATGCGACAGTATTGTTCAGAATATGGTAAGCGCAGGCTTGCAGCGGCAGGCGCGATCTGATAGAACGTTCTAGGGTTCTACCAGCGAGGAGATCCCAATAACCCCCTGTCAATCGAGACGTCCTTCCGGTCTCTCGAGCGTTTCCAAGAGGAATGTAACAGCGCCTTTCCTCAAGGGCTCCCCCCGTCGCCAGCAGTAGACAAGGTGAACAAATACGGGGGATGGAACATGACGCCGTCGAATGTACTGTTCACCAACGGAGAATGTAAGCACTTCGCAGACTGCCCGCTGCAATGTATACAAGCTCACTCTTGTATCAAGTCGACCCTTGGAGGACGATGGGGCTAGCGTCCATCGAGTCCAACTCACCTATGCGTACGCCTAGCGTGGCAGTACCTCGGTGAGTGAATGCCTTGTTGTGGTCAGCATGAATGTCAACTCAGAGGTCACGGATGTAACAGCTGCAACATTTCACCGGACTTTCCATCCTTCTTCGGACTCACGCATGCCAACATGGTGCATGTATCGGATCTGCGAGTGCTCCTAACGCCAGACGCGAACCATACCGACTTCAAAACTGTGGGCTTTTATAGCCCTGTGTCCCAAGAGCCATTCTATTCCGGCTTGGGACTCTTCGAGCTCGCACTCGACGAATGGCTTCCGTGCTTCGGGCAAAAGGCGGACTCCATGAAGTTGGGTGGAGAGATGGTTCTCCACGCATGAGGACACATTGGGCATCGTCTCTGAAGATCAAACTCGTGCATTCTCCTCTACAGTGAGCTCGACCCCGTCGAATATGCTATCCTCGCTCAGTCTGGGCATGCCCTACGACGCTTCCACCGTGATCCGTATGCGCTTCTCAATACAAACGGTGTCAGGCGTACAGTTACCATCGGCTCGCATATTCTCCGTCCACCGGAGAATGGTAGGACTGCGTGTGAGCAGGAACAAAGGTGACGCTGATGGAATACTCACTGATAGGTATCTGAGCGTACCTCTCCGCTTCCAACGTGTTTCCGAACAGCCTGCAAGCTCAAAACCAGACGTGCGCCTCTGTACCATACGGGTGTTGCTGTCCAAGTTCTCACTGTTCTCTCCTGGTGCTTTCTCATACGACCGACGTCCTCGTCAACCTGCTTCCAACGACAACAGCACTCGACAATACCGTTACTCTGTCCATTGCAGAATTAGAGTGTCTCTCGCCGCCGCTCGCTGATTGTGTAACCCGCGTTCAGTACTTGACGCTGATCATAATCCACAGTTAGCGCAATCGTTCCGAAGGCGATAAGATTCATGCGCTACGACGCTTCCACCGTGATCCGGGTGGCTTCTCAGTATATATGATGCCAGGCTCACGGGTACTATCGTTTACACCCTCCGTCCATCGGAGAGGAGCGAGTTCGCCTGTGAGCAGGCACGATTGAGGTATGATTCTGATAAGTCCGCTGTTGAGTACTGTCTGCTATATAGGCTCAACACTCAATTCACTTCCCTCACTTAGAGCGGCCCCCAGCTGGTTTCCAAGCACTCTCCTAAACAATCACGATGCCCAAGCACTCGCCCTCACTATCTATACTTCTAGTGCTGTTACAAGTTGCTAGCATCGCCGTGCAGGCAGTTCCTAGAACAGCAGTACTGAACAACTTGGTGACTTTGCCTATCGCGAAGCGCTTCAACTTCACCGGGTCGGGCAAGATGCTGCAGCGCGATCAAGCGCGAGCACGCAACCTACGTGCACGAGCCATAGCACGAGCCAACGGGACCGTGCTACCTCCTTCATCCCAGGTCGGAAGTGACCCAATAGACAGCGTTCTCAACACGTATATTGCGACCGTGAGTGGCTAGGAGAACGACATCGCCGCGTCGGTCCGCAGCCTGAGCAGAGTTGTATCATAGGTCGGCATAGGCACACCACCAACCAGCTGTACGCACTTTCGATGCTGACCCGCTGGCTACCTGAACATCAACCCGCGCTTACAGATAATTTAATTGTTGACACCGGCAGCGCCAATACGTGGATAGGTGCAAAGCAGTCATATGTGGAAACTCCGAGCAGCAGGCCGACACGCGATACTGTGGTACGCATACTGAGCATATGGATCACAGTGAATATTTGAGGCAACGGTATCCCTCCTCTGGACTTCTAGGCGGTAGACTACGGATACGGCGAATTCATGTCGGGTGAGTGCCTTGTCATCTACCATGGTCTTGGGTAGACAGCATGCTAATGCGTCAAGCAATGCAGGTGTGGAATTCACCGACACGGTAGAACTGAGTCCAGGGCTGAGCATACTTGGTCAATCCATCGGCATCGCCTTGGAATCAACCGACTTCGCGCCCTACGATGGCGTTCTTGGGTACGTTTCATGCGTGCCTACGAGGACCGGGTATAGCCGCTGACTGACCCTCTGTATGTAGGTTGGGACCCTCCGATCTGACTGTTGGGTCATTGACTCCAGACAGTACCTCCTCGGTCCCAACCGGTGAGTAGATATTTCTAAACTGCTACAATTTTGTAGCCCACTCACATATATCTGTGTGTCTACAGTGACCGAAAATCTGTACTTCCAAGGCATTATCACGTCAGAGATGGTCTCGCTATCCTTTGTGCCTGCTACCGTAGGACGGATCGGCGAGCTGACGTTCGGCGGTACCGATCCTGACAAATTTGTGGGGGCTCTCACATATGCGTAAGCAGCGCCCTTGATGTCGCGCGTATATTCTCTAGTTTTCTCACGCCCCACAAGTCCTATCACGCGGACCTTCCCATCGTCGAAGTACTTTGGGGTTGATCAAGTTCTCCGCTATGGGGATTTTGAGATACTCCTCAATAACAACCCGGGCGTCTTTGATGTTGGCACGACTTTGGTCCTTCTCGCTACAGGTAGATCTCCCATTGCTTACTGCTTGCATACCCCCATTTCACTGACGAAGACTTCTTGTAGATGCTTTTCTATCCTACATGTCACTAGTCGGCGGTGTATACGACGAGGTCACACAGCTCTACAGCATCACATTTGCCCAATATGACAACCTCGAGAGCATGTTCTTTATAATCAATGGTGTACGCATCTTATATCACTGTACGACGAGCACGCGCTCATCACACGAGTACTGCACAGGCCGTCTTCGAGTTCACTGCCAATGCACAGATCTGGCCGGTAAGGCTCACTGTCTATCACGACGCCATCGCGATGTTTATAAAGCTTAATCATTCTGCAGCGTGAATTGAACAGCGCCATCGGAGGCAGCTCAGACCTCTTGTACCTCATCATCGCAGACATTGGTACTTATTCCGGCTCAGGCATGGACATCGTCAACGGGATGATGTTTATGGAGCGGTTCTACGCTGTGTTCGATACACAGAACAACCGTGTTGGCGTCGCGAACTCTCCGTCGACGTGGGCCACGTCCAACTAGGACCTTCCAGGGCGTGATTGACGACAATCCTGAAGGCTTGGGAAGCGGCACTTTTGACAGTGGGAGTCGGGAGTCGGGAGTCGTGTTATGTATGCAGCATAGTTTCAAAGTATTCTTGTGTTGATAGGGAGTTAGTTGTACTGGACTTCTGAATTGTGCGATGCAGGCTTCGGGCTTCGTGAGGTTCGATTCAGACGTACTCGCCTGTGTCATTCTCATTGTTGAAGAAGCGCAAAAAGGTACTCTCTGTCGGGGAGTCGAACCCCGCTTTCGCGCGATCAGCAGAACTGACAAGCGCGTGTACTAACCGATATACTAACAGAGAACTGCTAGTTACCCTGCAAGTGGGCCCATGCCAGTGGAGGGCCAGCCAGCCCTTTCTTCTCTGCATACGCACAGTAATTCTTTCCACCGACAGTGAGGAGCCTGAGCTTGTATCCGTCGGCATTGGGCAACATGCCAGACTTTCCGTATTCCAGCCTCCTTTTCGCCCAGACCCAGGAAAAGGCACTCGCAGTCGCAGGGCAGCACTTTCATGTCCTGAACACCAAGTACGTCGCATTGGACTGCGCCTCTCGTAATGGTCGGCTAAGTCTGTCCGAGCCAGCACCGGCGAGATCATCCACACCACTACAAACCTCAGCGAGGAGAATCGCGGAAAGTCGAACGGGTCTGGGCCCATACGATGCGCCGCGGTTGACTCTACATTCACCCATGCAATCACCACTGGGGACGACAAGAAGCTCAAAGTCTGGCAGCTTGTGGACGAGTTGAAGCTCCTGAGCGAGCGGTATGGGCACGCATCTCGCGAGACCGACTTCAATGGCTAATTCTCGTCGTGACTATGCAGAGAGCTCCCTAAGAAGCCCACGGAGATTGGCTTCACGCGCGATGGTCAAACAATCGTTGTGAGCGATAAATTCGGGGATGTCTTCAGGTGTGTCAGAGCTGCACGCCCACTCCATACAATTCGTATCGGGTTGCTCACGCGCGCCCTAGTTATCCTCTTCATCCTGATCCGGATGCTACACGGTCAACGAGCAATGCAGGCGCGTCGAAGCGCGGCTCCTTGACGGCCCACGAAAATCCCTCCAACGGCACCCTCATCCTCGGTCACGCTTCTATGCTGACAACCTACCTCCTCACTTCCGACGAGCAATACATCATCACTTCTGATCGCGACGAGCATATTCGCATCAGTTGGTTCCCAAAGGGCTACGTCATTGAGCGGTATTGCTTGGGACACGAGAAGTGCGTGCAGCTGCCGAGACCTGATGCAAGGCCCCAACACTCACCTCGCGTTCTGAACAGATTCGTCTCTGCTCTGCACATACCATCCTTTAGCCCTTCAAGATTGGTATCCGGTGGCGGAGATCCTATGCTCAAAGTGTGGGACTGGATGTCCGGCAAGCTTCTTTCCGAGGTTTCCGTCTTCGAAACCGTGGAACCCTACATCAAGGTAAAGGCACCAAAATGGCGCAGGGGTTGGAATGATAGCGAAGGCGACGGCGAAGAGGGCTCCGCTGAGAGTACAAGCAAGGGCAAGGGCAAGGGCAGGAGAAGAGGCAAAGGGAAGAAGGGCGGGGAGGAGGCGCGTGAGGAGAGCGCTGATGTTGAGCAGGCCGGAGAGGCTGAGACTGCAACAGGGAACGCGGACGTACAGATGGCGGACGCAGTGCCGCAGGAGAGTGCTGACAAGTCTCATGCGAATACAGACGAGGACCGTCTGGTGTTCGCGGTGCATAGACTTCATTCTGTCGACCGCCAAGAACACGGCCGTTTTATCCTTTTCAGTGCCGTCGGGTATGTGTCCGCATTCCGTCATTCAATGCGCGTTTTCTAATATGATGTTCAAAGCGCGACTGCCATGTTCTACGCGCCGTTCCCCCAAGACGGTGAGAAGCTATTAGCCTCATCTGTCCGCGCCGTGGATCTAGGCAAGCCCGTGGTGGATTTCACCGTCGATGAAGAGGGGAACGTCTGGACATTCTTGGACGTGGAATGGAATACATCAGACAGTGCACCTGAAGGCGTGCAGCAGCCTGTACAACTGCTCTTATGGCAAGATGCAACAGTACGTCCTACGATGCTGAGGGGCCCTCGCAAGCTATTTACTCATTTTGGTGCAGCTATCCAGATCATCTAGCAACGAGCATCCTCTCCTCACGGCTCTCAACTCGCGGTGTCTTGTTACAGGTGAATCTGCATTGTGGCTACCAATTCGGTGTTCCGCAGAGATCACTAATACGACTGGAGTAGCGACCCCCGCCGAACTCAAGACACTCGATCTATACGGCGCGCTTTCTTCTTTACCCAAGAACGTAGATCCAGAGCACGACCCTCTCGTCCGGGACACGCTATCAGAAGCAGCAGTCGCGTCCCTGGACGGCGATGGCAAGCAACTCACTCAACGTGAGCTCGGGCGTCTCAAGAAAAAGAAAGCGCTGCTCGCCAAGATTCAGGAGCAAGAGCAACAAAAGCGTTCGAGCCGAGAGGGCACTGGCGAAGTTGAGGCCGAACGCGAGATCAAGAGGGCGAGGTCAGAGAGCGGTGCTGAGGCCCCTGCGACGGGAGATGTTGAGATGGACGCATCGCAATAGTCAGATCTGCGTGAACGCGGGCTGAGAGGCTTTGTAGGAGTAGCGGCAAGTCAAAAAATGTTGTAAAGTGGCAACTTGTTGGCGTTTGCATTCATACAACGTATGCGCACTAGCCCAAGTACACTGGGAAAGCTACTGGTGAGTGCGCGCCTTATTAATATGCCGCTTCCCCAGTGCGTCGTTATCTTATCAGATATGGCCGGGCCCGCGGTCGATCGTCTGGAAGCGACCTTCACAAGGCTGCCGAGAACGTTCCTTCTCGTCTCACACTCGCCTATATTCCGTCCACGTTGCTTTCCCTCTTACCACCACGACAACACCCACGTACAAGTCAAGTCTCCACGCAAGCCAGCTCTACAACCATGTCGACAGAGAATATCGAGCCTGTCCCTGTATCTCCGCCCGCCACCGTTGACGCTGCCGCCACCGCGACTGCTGCGCCACAGTCCGAATCGCAGCCTACGAGTGCGCCCACTGCTGCACCTGAGGTGGCTACGGAGCCTGTACCGGAGGCAGCGGTGTTGACAGAGCCTGCGAAGGCCGCAGAGCCCGAGGCAGCGGCGGCGGAGAAGACGGACGCGTCGAGCACCGAGGAGCCACAGAACCCGCTTACTCAGAAGTTCACAGACGCGGAGTGGAAGGCGGTCAAGGAGCTGCGCGTGAGTATCTCATCTCCTCCGACACCGTACGTGGGACGTAAGCTGAGAGTACGTTCGGGGCCGCCTACCAGTCGCAGCTCCCGGAGATCTTCGCGAAAGCATATCCAGACGCGTCGCCTGCGCCGACTGAGGTCACGCTATGGGGCATTACACTCTCGACGGAGCCAAGCGCGAAGGCCTCGGTCGTGCTCGCCAAGTTTGCGCGTGCCCGGAACCTCGACGTCAAGCAGGCGGCGGAGATGCTCGTTGCGACGCTCCGCTGGCGGGAGGAATTCAAGATCGAGGAGGTCATGCAGGAGAAGTTTGACGAGGACGTGTTCGGCCGTCTGGGCAAGGTGTTCGGGAAGGACAAGGAGGGCCGCCCGGTGACGTACAACCTGTATGGCGCGGTGAAGGACATGAAGGCCGTCTTTGGGGACGTACAGAGGTTTATCAGGTATGAACGAGGCTCTCTGCCTTGTAGCTGCTGTGTGGAGAGCGCTCAACATTCGCTTTCGCAGATGGCGCGTACAGTTCATGGAGGAGAGCATCAAGCTGCTCGACTTTGAGACGATTGACCAGATGGTGCAGATCCACGGTATGTCATGAATCATCTCTGCGAGGAATGCTATTCCTGACTTCTGCTCTATAGACTACGAGGGCGTGAGCATGACGCAGCGCGACGCGAATCAGAAGGCGGCTGCCAAAGAGGCCACGTCGATCTTCCAGAACCACTATCCCGAGTTCCTCGTACGTGTCCCCTCCTCTTCGCTCAGCTATCTCCGCCTACGCACCAGCTGACCCCGGCGCTATCGCGCGACTAGTCCCGCAAGTTCTTCATCAATGTGCCCACACTTCTCACCTGGATCTTCTGGCTCTTCAAGCCGCTCATCTCCGCGGCCACGCTCGCGAAGATGAGCGTCGTTGGCTCGGGGGCGAAGACCATCGGCGCGGAGCTCTCGCAGGTTATTGACCCAACGGAGCTGCCCAAGCGGTACGGTGGCCAGGCTGAAGGTTTCGATTGAGTCTTGCTTCGCGCAAGCGCGCTCTTCTGGGAACTTGCTCATTTTGTCTTGTTTATGTGTACTTGTGGATCCGATATACCCCTTAGCAGCCTGTGGCCCTCTCACTCTTTAGGTTCCGTGATGTCTCCGCTCATTTTACTTTGCTTCCATACTCTCTATGCTTAATGACACTCAATGGTAATCGCTTATATCTTGGATCATTCGCGCGGCCGCCAGGCAGATTTCAGAGAGAATAGGAACTATTAATAATGAACAATACAAATACAGCCCAAATATAAGAGATACAAAGACGAGATGAGATACAGCCCACGACGCTTCACGTGCGCTCACCGCGCAACCGCCGGGCAAGAGCCTACAATGATACTCAGTCAGTCAATGCACGAAGCCAGTACAAGAGATGCTGACCAAGTCTTTGGGCTGAATCGTCACGCGCTTGGCGTGGATCGCAGCGAGGTTGGTGTCCTCGAAAAGCGAGACGAGGTACGCCTCTGACGCTTCCTGGAGCGCCATGACCGCGGAGGACTGGAAGCGGAGATCCGTCTGTCATAAGGAAGATGGTCCATTAAGCATTCATGTTCCCGGTAAAGCAACTCATGTAAATATGCGCTGACCTTGAAGTCCTGCGCAATTTCACGGACAAGCCGCTGGAAGGGGAGCTTGCGGATGAGGAGCTCCGTCGACTTCTGGTACCGGCGGATCTCGCGGAGCGCGACGGTACCAGGCCGGAAACGGTGAGGCTTCTTCACACCGCCGGTCGCCGCCTAAGTTGCGTCGAGCACAAGTTAGCTGGAAGTTCGAAGTGCGCATAACGCGAAGGGAAGTGTGGCTTACAGCAGCGGTCTTGCGCGCCTGGGACTTGGCAGCGAGCTGCTTGCGGGGCGCCTTGCCACCGGTGGACTTGCGAGCGGTCTGCTTGGTACGGGCCATTGCTGGTGTGTTGTGTAATTGGTGATGAAGTGTTTCTGGTTTGTGGTGTGGCGAGGCCGGCGGGGGGAGGAGCGAGTGCAAGAATGAAGGAGGACGGTGGCTGGGCGCGCCTGCGGGGTACTTATACACCCTGAA